GCTTTCCATTGTATACTGCTCCTTCCTCCAAGCAGCCTTTGTCACATGCTGACTCTCATCAGTCACTTAACGCTCCCATGAAACTGCACTGCAGTTCAAACATGAAAAAAGTGCTCAGCTCTTTGGGATTGAGAGCTCTAAGGATCTGCAGGACAGGTTCTCAGTTGAACAACAGTTGTACAGCCATGAACTGCCAAAACCAATGTGGCTTTCATACATGGATATGGGCAACAAAATTGTGTCTCTGTTTCAGTGTGAGCAAAACATTTCTGTGAGAAGAAAAAATGAACTTCACTGTCACAAGGCAAACTGGCAGCTAGGGTGAAGGAGAATCCTCTGCTCTAAGTATCCCAACTCATCACTTCTTCTGCGTCTCGCATCAACATCCCATGTGTCTCTTCCTTAGCCTTGCCTGTAACCTCAGATGTGAGGATCCAGATGTGTCTCAACCCAAATGCATTTTGGAGAGAAATGTATATAGCTCTGCTTCTAGATAGTGTTACTTTGCTTTGATTTTGTTACCAGTTCACTTTATGCGGCAAAGGTATCAATTTTAAAAAGCTTGGGGGTTACACTGGAGTTTCACAGTGAAAAGTAAACCTGTTAGATAAGGAAATTTAAGATCCTGGTCTTAGGCTTCTGAGCTTGCTTCTTCATGTGAAGATTTAGAATAGTCGAAGTTTTTGTCTTGGTCCAGATGCAGCTGCAGTGTATCTGATGGAACATAAACACTGTGTTTTGTAGTATTTGAAAGAATTGCTGTTCCTTGTTTTGTTCAAAACAATTCCCACACAACAAAAGTAGTGTTGCCCATACTGAATAGAGGATACCAAAATCTCTGGTTGAGGAAAATTGAAGTCTTATATGGCTGAGGCTCCTTAGGATAGCTTGCTTGTTCAATAAACATATTTCACCTTCTGGTGTGCTGTGTTTTTCAGTAATGAGATGACTGAAAAAATATAAACTTTTAAGTTAACAACATTAATAATTAGGAGAAATAAATTGATGTAAAGAAATAAATTGGCTTGATTGGTGTAGCCATTAGTAATGCCAGAGGTTATGCTCCCTTTCAGGCTTCAGATGCTTGAAACACTATAAGCAGTGTTTTAAAAGTAGTAAAATGCATGTACCTTTTCTGCAAAAGTTTTTCAAGGCTTAAAGATATAACCTAAGCATTTCAAATAACCCTGTGACAGGGAAAAGAATATCCCCCTCCAAAATATCTCCTGACATGAATTCAGTTTTTTATTCAGTTTTACTGCGGCACTGGAAATACTGTAAGCCTTAGCCAAGTCATTGTCTTGAGTACCTTCTGCCTACCTGCAATTCTCCATGGAAGATTCCCAGCATCTGGGTTTCAGTTGGATATAATCAACCTTACTGGAATTGAATAATAGGACCAAGAGCTTGGCATTTGTTATAAGCCACAACTAGATCTGTCTCTGTAAATGAAATCTGGGGATAGAGGGAGGAAAAGGGAGGAGGGTTAGGGGTATTTTTTCAGATCTGACTGGATATATATAGAGCAGCATTGGTTATGACTGAAGATACAGTGACCAAAATGAGCGACTTCCGTTTTTGTAAGTAGATCACTGCCTGAGCATTGTTCAGGGCAAGGCCTCAGGCAGCACAGCACACCTGATGTCTACCTACTTAGCTGGCCAAAAGCTGATGTTATCCATTTGACTTATATAGAAGTCAATATGACTTTTTGATGCTAAGATTTATGCTGGATTAAATGGGGAATAGTCACTGGGCTGTTCTTTAGGAGGTTAGCACTGATCCAGCATTGAGTTAACAATTAATATGGACTAGCTCCCAAACTTTCCTCATCTAAAATTAAGAGCAAATGAAAGACCAGATTTTTCTTAGCTGTACCAAGATGATCATCTGAGTCTGTATTTCACAGACAGAGGCATAGCAAAATTTCTGCTTTATGTTTCTAATGGCCAAAACCTAAGGGCCTCTGAGAGGTTGCTTTATTTAGAGTCTTTCTAGATTGGCATGATATTGAGCATATATTAAATTGTGCATATTAATTTAAAAACCAGAAAAACTTATCATATTCTAGGTCCATGTTTCCTGCCTGGCCTATCAGAAAGCTGTGAGTAGTACAGCTCTCTGTTCTGGCTCTGCAGTGGTAGTACAGCTCTCTGTTCTGGCTTTGAGCCATGTAGAGATTTGCCCCTATAACAGGATTCTCCATCATTCCCTTGGAAAGAAGAATTCCCAAGGCAGAAGTGCTAAAATAAAAAAGGCAGCATCTAATTAAACCTTAAACATTATTTACCTTTTTTTGCCAACATGAGGAATTTATACACTCATGCTGTAATAATTTCCATGCTCATGCTAGCTGCCAGAGGAATATTATGTAGGGAAAGAATGAATAAATGGAATTGTAATAGAAAAACAAGTGGCCTTTTTCTGCTAGGTGTATACATGTCTACTACTGCAGATGAAAAGATCCCTGAACAAGCAAGGACTTGTATAACAAAGTTCTAGCTGGAAATATATAGTCTAGAAAACTACTCTATGGAAAAGAGAGGAAGGAATGAAAATAATTTCAGTAAATCAATTTAATGATCCAGTTGATGATGTCGGCCACATGGTATTTGTGCTGCATTTGTATGCCACAGCATGCAACAGCATAAGAGCTAGGTAAGCAATTGCATGCAGCAGCAAGTGCCATCAAAACTAGCATATCACAGAATTGGACTCTGACACAGTAGCAGAGTATGAATTAACTTTTCCAAATTTTAAGGTGGTTCATACCACTAACATAACAGCAAATCGGCTATGAGACTGCTTTGCTGTGACCCACTTTCTTCAAGCAGAAGCAGCATGGTATTGAGGAATCTGTTTGAAATGTCACAGGGGAATATAGAGTAAGAGAGAGCAAAAGGAAATAATTTTCTTTTGAATTGAGGCATTATGTAATAAAATAATGATATTCTAATTTTTCTATATGTATCACTTAAATTTGGGTTAAAATTGAATGTCAGTATGTGTTATTTGCATTATCATTAGTTTCTTTGGTAATAGTGATTCATCTTACTGCACGTACTGATTCCAATATAGAGGAAAGAATAATTTCTCTTTGGCAACACAATAATTATGCAGTGGGGTCCATAGTTACTGGCAGCCTATTCCTGCTTAAGAAACCAATCACTGAAGCCATCCAGAACAATTACAAAGTATATATCTTCATATATTATTACCCATTGCTGTGTCTCACTGCTACAGATTTTTGTATAATAAATGTCCATTTAGGAAGAACTATGTGAAGGAGATGCCCTCGAAACATTTGAAGTAGCACAACAGGCGTATGTGTCATTGCTCTGCTCTGAACAATGCATTGTCAAGGGCGCCAGCCCAGTGCCCATTGCATTCTTTGCTGGCACACAGCCACCTTTTTATTAAGAAGCAGAGTTCTTTCTGCACATACTTAAAGACCTGTGGCATCTTCTGAGGTAACAGAAGCTTACCTGTCTGCCTTCACCTGGTACTAAATAGTTAGTTAGTCTGAGCAAGAACAGTTATGCTGTGCTGCAGAACTGGAAAGAATTGTCCTCAGTCTAATGAAGTTCTGCATTTCTTGGTAAGAGAAACACACAGAACAGAGCGTGTTCTGTGAGCTTGACAAAGTTTTTAAAGGAAAGGCCCTTTTAAACCTTTGCTATTATAGTTAAATATGGGGGGTACCTGCTGATCAAAGGACCTTCTCTGTGGACTCTGATGTTGAGGAACACGTTTAGTGCATGCATCTGGGTGTGCAGCTGCAGGACAGCTGCAGACTGAGCTCTGGCTGTCGGGAGCCCAGAGACAAGAGGCAGTGAACTTGCATAACAAAGGGCCCAGGGACCTGCGGCTCCAGGCAGGTGACACTCGGACAAGGCAGGAGCCGGTGGCCCTGGCTGCAGACTTTGGAGCACTTAGACAGTGAGGGCATAAAACCTCAGGGTTTCCTTTTCTCCTCCTCAAGGCACCCAGCTCCATCTGTTTTTTGCTGCAAGACAGTTAAATCACTTTAAGGAGCCGGACCTGTGAGACTGTGCTGTGAGAAAGCCGGTTCTGAGTCTGTGAGTGTGGGATGTGCAGGCAGTGAGAGGAGCACCCATAAGCTCACAGGGGCCCGCTGGGATGGGCCTCAGCCCAGCTCAGGTGCTGCTGCTCGGACTGCACTGCAGCTCTGGATGGGCACGTGGAACTCAAGCACTTGCACTGAGTTCACTTCAGAAAGAGACTTGCTGCGTGTGACGTCCTTCTTCAGTGGCACAGATTTTGGTTGGGAGGTTCCTTGGAAGTTCATGGCTATTCCAGAAGGAGAAATGTTTAGATTACTTAATTATTTTTAGCACAGCCAAGAGAGGTAAAATATATCACTAAGAAACTAAGATTTATGAGAACGTGCTGTAAAGTAAATTGTTCTCTCAAGCAGAGAAACAGTACAGTGAAAGAGACTAACTACACTACTGGACTTTGGTTTTGCTCAGTGTTGAATTAATTTTTACAAGGATTGTGTGTGTCAGTGCTCTATATTGAATCAGGAGGCGTATAATAATGAGTTTTTCTTCCATGTAAACTTAGGAAAGCTACTTAATTTCTATTCTCAGAAACAACTCTTAAGAGATCATTGTCACACCTGCTTTGTTCTAACTTACCCTGGAATGTTTGGTGTCTTTTTTGCCACATTTATTTGTTGTTCTACAGTTTTTTCACAAAGGTTACCCGATAAATTAAGAATGTTAATTGATTTCTATAATGGTGAAGGGAAATTTTTGTAGCTTTGAAAGGAAAATATAAATATTTTACAGAATAGAATGCTATTAGCATCTGTATTTTAGTTCATTATGTTGTTTTTAATAACTTGGAACATTTTAGGATGTCATTGTTTTTAGTTGAGGAGTGGCTTATTAATTAGATTAATATTTAGCCATCTTTCTTTGTTGTGTCCCAATATACTAGAGCTTATTTTGTTATTTTTCTTTTGGCTACTTCAGGTATGAATACAAGCAAGAGTGAGACAGTGAAAGAGCACCCATTAAAACCTTCTAGAAGATCTATGCCATGCCTTGCCCAGAGCCAAACACATCCTCAGAGCCTGAGTAAGCATTCATCATTTCTGCAGCCAAACTGTGTGCAGCCACAGCTCCAGCCCCAGCCCTTGAGTGCAGGGACATCAGCAGCTGCAGTGGATGTAGTGTCAGAACGAGGTAGGAGGATTTTTTCTTTCCGGAGAGAAAAAAATTTCTATTTCTTTCATTCTAGCTCTGATAAACTTTGATTTATTTAGATAACTATATTTTGTTGAAGAAATGTTTTTGCACCAAACACCTACACATACCATATTATCAGGTTCTTGATTGAATCTTTATAATGTTTGAAGTGAGTTTTAAACTAATTTTTTTTTCTCAATGATGACATTATTTCCTTTTCACTGGTATTGAGACAAGCAAGTCTTGCTCATTTATGCTGGAGAAAGGTATGAAGGTTTCTGTAGTCTGTCCTAGAAGAGAAAGAAAGAATAAATATAAGGCTTTAGGCAAAAAAATCTTTATATATGAACATGTAGGAGGAGATGCGTTCATTCACAAACAGTAGAATGCAGGAGGAGTGGTATGGAAAGAATGAGAATGAACAGAGAAAATCCCTCCAAATTTTAGCTCATGTGGAATAAGGAACTACTTTTATTTTAAGATTTCTAATTTAACAGATACACATGCCTTATCAGAGAAGCTAGTATAGTTGGAATCCTGTTGTACTATTACATGAAATAACTCATGCATTCACTCAAGATGTAAAAGAAGGAAAAGAGGAAGTTTTATTTCTGACCTTTCAATATATAGTATTCTAAAATGACAGTGGGTTGGAGGGTGAAATTGTCACCTCTCCAACCACACTGGTCAAATTAACAGTCTATTAATTCTCTCTTCCTACAAAGAAGAATGTAAAACAATAATTATTTACATGAACAGTGCGTGAGAACTCCAGTAGAAATATGTAAACATAAGAAGGTATAGAAAACTTATTTTAAAAGAACTTTACAACTTTTAAAAGAACAGGACAACAGAATCCAAAACACCTGTATCACCTGTTGCCAATTCTTGCCATCCTCTATTGCCAGATGTGTGTGATCCTTTGTAGAATAAATTAACTCAACTGGTAGTAGATTTTGATAAGTCTTTCCTTAATGTTGATAGGCACTAGGCACTAATTCTTGGTTTAGTGAGTTATTTTATTGAGTTAAAGGTCTCTCAGAAATAGGCAGAATCTTTGTTAAAGTGATTTTGCTCTTTTTTCTATTGATTGAAAGTGCTCTTCAAAATTTTAATCCAAAATTTTTTGAGTTACTGACAGCTTTAAAAACTTTTACAGTAAGGATTATTTTACTTAAAAAATACATGTGAATGCTGATATAGATATTGCATTTATTTCAGCTAAAGTGATGGAGACTTTGGAAAACAACTTGCTTAAGCTGTCTAATACAGAATATGGTGACCCATTTTTAGGTAAGTTGTTGTCTGAACTGAAATAATGACTAATTAATGATTCTTTGTTTATGCTTGCAATATTTAAGTGTGGAAAGGCCGTACTTATCCTTAACTTCCATTTTTTTGAAAGAGGAGACTAGGTATGACTAAAGAAATGTGTGCTGTCATGAATTTCCTGATAATGTCTCACCTTTTAGATTAAAAATAGGGTCTGAATACAGAGAAGTGTCATATATTCCGTGTATCCTTTTCCCGTAATAGTCCTTCATAAAACAATAATTTTGAACAATGTACTTGAAATTCCTTTAAAGTTGTTAATATTCATTTATTTTTCCCATGTAGTCATGTCATTCACTATTATCGTGGCTGCAGTTCTATTGTTCGGTTTTTTTTTAGATATTTTATATATTTGCTTTTGATGTTTACATACAAAAACTGTTAAAATTTGGGAAGCAAAAAAAAAGTAGTAATGGAGAAAACAGCCATATTTTTACTGCTTTGCTATCATTTTGCTATTGTAATTAAATCAGAAAAAGTAGGAAAGAAGTTATTCATAGAATACTCCCATCCTTGTAATTGCAAATCAAATCTGTAATACTACATGTGTAGTAATTTACAAGTTCCAAGATGAAGTAGTTGCCATCTATTTTACCCATACAGATACAAAAATATTGCTGCACCTTGCACAGCTACTATGAAAGATATTTTTGCTCACAGTTGATGAAGCATCAAACTAGAAATCATATCTTCATGTTGGATGAAAGATACCTGCTTTCAGAAAGCTAGGTCTGCTCACCTCTCACATAATTTAGCCTTGATTTTTCTTGATGCCTAAAATATATGATAGATAAGAGGGCTTCTCAAGGTTTCCTGAGTAGGTAACTACTGGAAATAGTAGAATTGATGATACTTCAAAACCAGATATTCCAAACTTATGGCACAGACCAAAAATTTGGCATGAAGATTATATAAGAAAATCATGTCTTAGTAAGGTTCCAGTTAAAAAATGCTGCACTTTCCTAGTGTAATTGATTGGCAAGCATGGATACTAGGAGATTTTACTGTTATAATTTTCTTCTTGTCTTTTTTTGTTAATATCCTGCTCTGTTTTTCACTGAATTACTTACACATAGACATGCTGATATTGTTATGTATTTATATATGTCAGCAGTAATTCTTTCTCATAGTAGATTATGCTGGTTTTCATTCCATTACTTAGTTTTAACCTGAAAAGATACATGGAGGGCTCAACAACTCAGGAAAAGATTGATTCTTTTCAGTTCAAAGTTGTTTTAAATTCTAGTGTGGATGTTTCTTCTCTTTTGACTACAGCTATGCTTGTGTAAGAAAAAGTATTTAAATAGTTGCCCTTTACTAACTTGAGTAATGAAATATGCCCATGTTAAGTCCATCCCAAATTAGATAAGTGAAATCTGTGAAGCTATTCCCAGTTATAGAAGTTATAGCAGTGTAACTGATTAGGTTATTCAATTACGAGCAAGAAAGAAAACAGTATTTAAAAATAAATGCCATAGGTCAGTAATAAGAATTGGTTTATTTTAATATTGGCACTATCTGTTAGATGAGTGAAGAGAATAAGAGACAGTTAAAAGGTGCATGTAACAAAATGGCTTCTATACCTTCAAAATACAGTTTGTTGGTCCTTTAGTATTGTGCTTCTGTGTGTAAGAATTTGTCTCCAAGTCTAAAATTTTCAATTTCATCCTGAATATGGATGTAGATGGGAAGGGGGAGTAAAAAATAAACCTGAAAAAAGAATTTTGCACCTTCAGCTTTGATCATCAATAGGTTAAAATAATGCTTTTATGGGTACTCTGGCAGTTTAATGGAGTTTGAAAAGTAGGCTGATTAATGGGTATCATCATCTCAGTGAACATTTTCAAACTGCTCTCCTGAGAACATGAAAGAAAGCTGAATTAAGTGAATGTGGTGAATTTTTAATTAGGCAGTGTTGTAGAAATGTAGATCAAATGGCTTTCTCCTCTTCTTGCATTGTTTGTAGACAAAATTATCTTGTATGAAGGAGATTAACAGGCATCAAATAAAGGACTTCAGTGGAAAGCTTCTCTCTTATTTCAGTTGGCTATAGCTGAGGCCATAAATCTGTTGGACAAGCTTAGTTAATTATGTTAATGGATTTATGAAGTAAAAAGACAATGTATTATGCCTTTGTTAATTACCCATAGATAAATGGCATCAAGGACATTATGGATTTGTGTTCTTTTTCCTCTGTCAGTTTCAGGTGTTAAGCAGTGTTTTTAGTTTGAGGAAGTGGCATTCAATCCAAGTGGTAAATATTGAGCTTCTGTAAAACACTATGTGAAATTTGAGGTTTCAGGCATAATAAAATACCCTTCTTTCTGACTTACTTACTCCCCTCCCACCTTTGGTGGGAGACACAGAAGGTGGAGATTACTAGCTTGAAATAAGAACAAAAGTAATACTCAGTAACAAGTAAAACATCGCTAACTTACTATTTTTTCAATTCTGTTTTTTTTTCCCCTTAACTTAGATTAGTTTTGGGGATTTGTGCGTAATAACTCATTTTTCTTAGCAGGACACGAAAGCCTTCCTAGATAAATAACCATTTTGCTGTGACAGATACTTTGTATTCTGGATGTATTCTGAATCCAATTACTACAGAGTTTATATATAAAAAAACTATGTATTTATGTGCTATGCTGTAATACAGTGAAGTGATAAATGAAGAGCTGAACCACAACTAACAATCCAACAAGGAATCATAATAACTGCATGATAAAAACTATTTTTCAATACTCAATTATTGAAGTGTTTGTAAGTCAATTTTCTGATGTTATGATAATTTGAAATGGGCATATATGTATAATGTGCAATACCTATCATGTTTATATAAAAAGAGGGACTGAAAGATCACAGAAGATATGATTCAAGGAAAACAATTTCAATTTCTGCTGCAACAGAAATGTGATGTTTCCATTATGCCTTCTAGAATAATTTTAATCCTAAGGTTTTGGTCAGTGCCTCCATAAATAAGGGCTGTCATGTCTGTTCTGGTTGTGTAGTGAGGTGGCTGAAAAGCTGCATGAGAACAGTTTGTCCTATACCCAGAGTTGTCCAGCTCCCATATTAGAGCTGATCCACTCCTGGTGAGCTGGCAGTATGGATGAAGAAGCTATGTAATCTATGCAGTGCTCGTGGGAAAATAACAAGGATCAGTCTTTGGACTTAGTATTGCAGTTGAAAATATTGATGTACTTTAGGCAATTAATCTGCCACTTCCAGTTCTGTTCACCATCTCAGCTTCTCTGAAGAGCAATAATATATGACTGGGTCCCTTTATTAAAAAATGGAAATATTCTGTGTAACAGTTACCACTGTCTGAAAATTAAGAAATTTTACATTGAGAAAAATCTGTGTTTGTCTGTTATGTGTAGGCACACAGTTTGAGGTGATTGGGAGTGGGGCTGTGGCCGATCCTCAGTGGGTGCAGCTGCGCAGGACAGGTGAGCAGTGCTGAAGGTAACGAGCCATGGAGTGCCCAGGTGTGCTGGGCAACCACATAGGGACCAGAGGACATATAGGTGCAGTGCATCAACATGAGGGGATAAAAGGTTGCACTAAAGAGCAATAAGCAGCAGATGCTTGAAGTATTCTTTGTTGTAGGTTGTGGCTTCACTGTCATTCTGGTAGTTATGATGGTTTTTCATATCTAAATATGCATACACAGGTAGGTGAAAACCTTTCTATGTTATCTGTATAATATAGTGTTCCAGGTACCCAACAAAACAAAATAAGACCTAAATCCATCACAATGTCATTTATCTAGATAGTGTCTAGTGATGTTCTTCTCCCAAGTTACTTGCTTTTACTATGATTTAAATTAAGACAAAAGGAGCTTTTTTTACTTGACTAATAATCTCTTTCTTACTAAAACTTTGCAAAGCCTATCCTTAAATGTGTAAAGGCTCAAAGGATTGAGTAGAGTCGTCATATCAAAGTTTGTGAAACAGGAACTATTTAGGAATATTTATATTAGTTTTTCTTTCCATAACTATGCCACATTTCAGTTGAAAAACATTTTCTACCCTACACTACTGTATATAGATAAAATATACTGCTGGATTACATGTTACAGAGAAATCAGAACAAGTGCTTTTTATCCCCTGTCATAAAATTGAAATGCACTTTTGGCCCTTCAGGAAAGTATGTTAGCAAGAAAGATAGCCAAGCAGATAGAGAGACCCAAAAAGAAAGAGTCAAAATGTTTACCTAGCTATCTATTTCTAAACTAAATACTTCTGCATTATTATGTAAAGGATTTCCTGAAATTAAATTTTCTTCAATGTTTTATCATGTAAGTGACCTTATAATGTAAGTATATATAGCACGACCTTACTTGTCATGTGTTAAGTGTTGCCAAATTATATGTCAGGAAGTGTTGATAGGTTTTTTTGATTGTTGGGGGTTAGGTTTCTTTCCTTTTGTTCCTTTTTACTTATAGAATTTTTCCCCATAAGTTGCTGGGACATATTAACATCTGGGTTCTTAGGAAAACAAAAGAAGTGGCCAAGCCTCAGGAGAGGAGGGCATCTGGCGGGGGAGATACGGCAGGAGCTGGGCAGGTAAAGGGTGGGCTGGGGCAGCAGCTGGGGAAGGGAATTCGCTGCTCCTGAGCCTAGCCCAGAGCTGCTTCTCCTGCTCTGGGGTGAGCCTCTGCTTGTGAGAGCAGCCCCTGAACATAATCTTTTAAATGTAAGACTTTGTAAAAAGATTGATGTTTAAATCTTTCTCCTGTTAATAGCTACTCTGGAAACTCACATAAAGGGGTATAACAAGTAAAGGGTTATGCACATTGTGTTTGCACTGGTGAGACTGTTTTACCTCAGCAGCTGTGTTGGGTCTGTGTGGTCAGTGTGCGGCTGGCGGAGCTGCAGGGGTGGCTTCTCTGAGAAGCTGCTGGAAGCTGCCCCTGTGCCTGGTGGAGCCAATGGTAGCAGACTCCAGGACAGACAGACCTACTGCCTGGCAAGGCTGACCTCATCCGTGACAGGGAAAGCACATCTGGAATAAGATTTGAGAAGGGAGAAAATAATACACAAGGGCAACATCAACTGGAATAAGAGATTGTCTTGCAGCCTATGGTAAAGACCTTGGTGAGGCAGGCTGTGTGCCTAGAGCCCACTGAGGTTCATGGTGGGGCAGGGATCATCATCTTACAGCCTCAAGGGGTTTAAGTGCTAAATAATGATCCCCTTTTTACTGTATTAATAAGAGTGCTTTTATGTATAAAAGAAGTCATCAGCTGCTGAAAGAAACAATAGGAAGTATCTTTGAATTTTAGAAAAGGTCTCTTTAGTATTATAAATTTCCTTAATTTCAAAGATTGTTTTGGGTTTTTGTTTTGCTAAAACAAATTTTGACTACATATCCAGCAAAAGGACAGACATATCAAGGTGAAAGATTTTTTTTTACAGAAGGGAGATGCTGCAATTTGAAATATGTGTCCTTGAAAGCATAAAAATGTTCAGCAGGTAAAGTGTGTTGAGCACAGAGGGAAAACTTATTCATAACTTCAAATAATTTAAATTTTAAAAGCTGCATAAGTTTTTTGGTTTTTAGTACTAGGTGTACTCATAATGTCTAATCCTGTAAAACGCCCCTTATAGAAATAGGCTTAATGTAAATATAATCTTTCAGCTTAAATGGCCTAGTTATTTTTCATAGTCCTGTCTCTCCATTTTACTGGCTCCTAAAACTAAGAGCTCATCAAACCTAGGCATAAGTCAAATCTGCATAGTTGCTAAGTATCATATACCTACCTGAAGCCTTCTTTTAACTACATTCATTTTGGTTGAGCAGAAAGTAAGTTGTATATTAAGTTAAAACATTGTTTAAAATAAATAAAACCCCTGAGTTAAGCACATTGACAATTAAAATGAGCTGTTTTGTTCATTAAGAAATCCCACCACAGATTTACCATTGTTAATATCAATGTTAAAAAATTATCAAGGGAATGTTTTTTATAATCATTATGTAGTAACTAAATTGAAGAAGAAATAGTGCTCAGTAAATGTTCTGGGGTTTAATATTCCATCTAAGAAATGCGAAATCTTTAGGGTGCATGAGATAATTGTAGCTTTTTTTTTTTAATTTCTGTAGTACTTAGTGTAGAGAATTTAACTGGACAACTTAATAAAAAATATTTAAATATTGCAAATGGACTTTTATGAATTTAAAATCCATGAATTTCAAGACCGTGGTTTCCACAGCAACCACAACTTTTTTCTTGGCTTCTATTTAGGGTTTCGAATTACTGAGCTAAATGCTGTTCCTAGTCCACCTGACTTTTCCCATGTTGATGTGAAAGCTGAGATGGGAACTTGACTCAGGATTTGTGGGTAAATTTTTTGTCTGAAATGTGTTTCTTTTTCCAATTTGTCCTAGATAAAATTGTGTGGAAATGATTATTCCATCTTTTTAATCGTTAACATATTTTTTCAAGACTAGCCATTTTCCAACATTTGTTAAAACTTTACAGTCCAACACTGCACAGGCATTGCCCTTCATTTTATTCCTTCTGGGTGTATAGGGAGAGAATTGTCATGATTCTTTGATGGACAATAAGGGTAATCTCTGAGGGAGGTCCTCAGTTTCCTGCAGCTCTCTTAGGATACTCAGCTGAGTTTTCATAAAAACTTCAGCTGAGCAATTAAAACTAAATCCAGTGACAAAGTGAATGCTTCTTCCATGAAGGCCACCTACCTCCTACCACCATCAGGTACTCCTATTAAAATGTGTTCTGAAGCACTTACTGCAATATCTTAACGTGCAAATTTTCAAATTATATATCTGCATGTGTGTAGGGGAACTGGGCATTTCAGTTGCTTGTTTAGATTTAAAACATGAGATGCTATTTTGGTCTGCAGGCTGTGCCACCTGTTTGGTGAAACATCCTGTGCCTCAACAACTGTGAGTCAAGTAGCTGAATATTCATATTACTTTGCTTTTTAAAACTACTGTAAAGGAGGTTATGGGCTCTTTTATTTGAATGCTAATTATAAAACATTTCTATTGACCTTCTACTAAAAATAGCAGTCACTTCTAATTTAAGATAATCATTGTAGCATTTCAAGTATAAAGCTTTAACAGGAAAAGAAATATGTTATTAACAAGTGTGTGCATAAAATGAATATTCAGCTGTGGCTATAATAATGCTGTTTGTGTCTATCCATTAAAATCTAAAATGAGCCCATTGTTTTCTTCTGGTTTTCCTTCAGATGTAGGAAAGGACAAAGATACATATACAGATGATTCAGAACATGGGAATTATGATGCTCGTACAGATCAGTCATTGCTTATTCAAAATAAGCTCACCAGGCAGAAAACAGAACCTCGAACTAAGTCATCGTTAAAGGTAATGGACACAAAATTCTATTAAATTGTATAACTGTCAGAATGTGCTCAAATATTTTTAAATGCAATTTTTAAAGTACTACATATGCTGCAGCCTAAGTAAATGGGCATCTCATGGTAAGAAATTAGGTGGCTCCCAAATTGTTAGAAATGATAAAACTTCTAAAATAATTTTAGTTACTGGTTTAAAATAACTTTTATTTAATTGTTTTAATTAGTGATAAGCAGTGTGTTAAGTCTTAAATCACTTTTAGTTAATATTTAGCAAAGTTGTCATGAGCTGCTATTGTGGGAACACAACTGCACAAAATTACTAAAAGTAGTTTTGTTAAATTGAAATTAGTTTTCTTAAACTAAACTTGATATGCTTCAATGAAGAAAGCCTGGGAGAAAAGAGATGTCTTGTTGAAACTGGACAGAAGGAGTGTAGAATTTTTGGATCACAAGGTCATTTTGCAGAAACCAGAAAAAGTATGTGTGCTGGAGGAAAGAGATACTTAAAATATTAAAAATATGGACTAATTAGGATGTGCAAAGAGAACTAAGCAAGCAATAGAGGATAGAATATTAGTTAACAAAAGAGAATGATTTAATTTAGATCTAATGAACACAAATTTCTTTGCTAAAAATGTATAAATAAGTTAAAAACTTTTGTATCAATTTTTATTTGGAGGCTGGAATTTTGTTGGCCACACACCTCCTCACCAAGAATAAAGCAATATATATCTTATTGCTTTAATATCTATGCTTGCTAACACTAAGAAGACAGTGTTAGAGCATTTTATTCATCCTGATTATTTTGGAGGGTGTTACTAACAATGTTATAGTTTGAATGACAGAATTAGTGAATGGAATTCTCTGTATTAAAATAAAGCAAAATTATATAAAATCAAGGATTCTTATATGCTTTATTGACTCAGCTAAGAGGCAGTGGCCTTCTTTCAATACATTTATATTGCAGAGAATTTAGGATATAGGATTTTGGGTGTGCAGTGGAATTCATGTTGTCTGAGAGGCCTCAGAAATTCTGAGAGTGTAGAAGAACTATGTTCAAGTAGCAAATGGTCAGTCAAGAGTGATCTAGATAGAGTATAAGATCTTTCTTCTAAGCAGTATCAAAATGATATCTAGACACATTGAAAGGTAAAGCTCATGTGTAGGTGAGTGTAGGAGTATTTTCAGGAACCTAAAGCACTGGAAAAGCCATCTCATCTCACCAGATAAATCTGGCATGCTATTTTGCTTAGTAATTACATAATTATACTATTCATCACAATGCATTTTCTCCAGCAGTTAATCTACGATAATGTCAAAGAATTATGATGGATTTTCTGTTCAAAAAATGTATCCTTTTTTAGGAGACCCTTAATTCTCCTTTCCATTGAGCATAACTGCTTGCATACATGTGACAAGTGACTTAACCTCAAGAATTTCTGAATAATTTTCTTCTTCGCACTCTGGAAACAGCGAAATCTGCGGCACAGGTTTTTTTTACTGTAGGCATCAGTAATCCTGTATTACAAATCTGGTAGTGCTTGAGTTACTCTAAGCTTCTGTGCTGTACTCAGAGCACATATGCTGTTCTCTTCAAGAGACCATTGTAGACTTGTTCCATGGATTGTACTTGTGGCACTTTGTGATTTTGGCATTGAATGCATACTTTGTGAGTCCTATAACATCTCTAATGCTTGTCACACTCATCATCATTACTGCAGTATTCTGGAACACAGGTAGATGTGATCTCTGAGGCTTCATTTCATATGATGCTTTTAGAAAAAAAAATTATAGTAGTAGCTATCTAATAATTTTTAAATAGGCTTACAGGAAATTGTATTTACAAACTGGAAATCTGTGACATGATAATAAAACTTCAGGAATGACATATATGATATATGTGTGTCATATATATAACCTTTCTTGGGTTACATATTAATCTAAACTGTTGCAATGAGAACTTGTATTCAAATATTTTTTTGTCTGTTTCTGCAAGACTAGCTGAACAAAGACAGATAATAATGGATATTCTTGTTTGATTTTGTTGACTAAGAAGACAAATCATTTATGTTAGTTGTGGCCAAAAAGGCAGAAAGCCATTGTGACGTCTGTAGAATTTAGATCACGTTACTGAGCACTAAACAGTTTTAATAACAGGTAAGGCTTTGCCAAAACTATCTAGTAACAGATGCAATTCTGTCTAGTAACAGGGATTTCACTACACTAAAGCAAAATACCTTTTTTTGTATTTCCATGTGAATTATAAAATAACCACTAGTTGTTTTTTTCCAAGCCCTGCATTGAGGATGGTTATGAAATTTATAGCCAGTAAGTTTAACTTTCTTTCAAAGTTTAAAGAGGAGTTTTATATTTGTATTAAGTTGAAGCAAAAATACACCTTTTATGTCTCAGTCTTGGTATGTACTGACCTACTGAACAAATTGGTTCAGTGTTTAAAAACAGGCTTTTAACTTTGTCAATTCCTTTTATCACAGCAACTACTCTGGAAACTTCCTTCTGCATTTAGAAGGACTGTTTTTGCAAATGAGGTGTCTTGGTTTAACCCCAGCTGGGTTAAACCCAAAATTCAAAACACAGTGCTGTGCCAGTTACTGTGAAGAAAATGAACCCTATCCCAGCCAAAGCTAGCACCTGAAGCAACCAAGCAGGATTCTCCTTCCCTTTGTTTTGCCTGCTTCCACAGGAAAAAGGGCAGGGGAATTTAGACTAATCTTATGTTAGAAAGGAACACTACTGTTTTGCCTTTGGATTATTATAGAAGTCTTTGTGGCAATTAACTTAAAAATCCTTAGGGAAAATTCTTCCCAAAATTGACATAAAACTAGCAAAAGAAGGCTTCTAATTCTTTCTGAGACTGCTGAAAGCACAGAATACTGTAATGCAGCTTTACAGTTGGTAAGTACTCTTAAATATTTGAAGTGTAAACTGATCTGTCACAATAAAAAGTCTCCTCAGTCTGACCAGATAATGAGAAACACTGCTTTGAGCAGGTGTACAAGGATAAAATCATATTCTTCTTCTCTTCTTTTTAATGTTTCCAATTTTTGCCTGTTTTGGAAGGGTTGTTGTATAGTTGAGACACTCAGGGGAAAATTGCTAAAAAATTTGTTTGCACTTACTTTGTGGTGCCATTATCTTTCTCAGCAATAAACTGCTGAAATACTTCAGCAGTAGTGATCATGTCTTGCTGACATGATGAAAGCCAATACACATTTCTTTTCAGGAATTGTTTAGTTTTTCAGATTACATGCATGATACCTCCATAAATCTGATTCTTGTTGTTACATTTTAAAGCTTTGAAAAGTCAGATAATTTTCTTATAGCAACCAGATGCCAGTGTATTCATCTACTTTTCTTGTTTCCATGATTATGATTTATAAGTGGTAATTTCCTATAGTGTGGGTTGATATAATTTCAGAATCCACAGATTTCATACTGAAAAATTCTGAGTCGCTCTGACCCATGAAAAAGCTGTTTTCATTATCCATCTCTATCAACATTCCATCACCAGCTGCTCTTGAAATGGCACAGAAAGTAATACTTTATGTATGTACTTCTGCTGAGGGGTCTCACAAGGAAGAATGAAGCTAACAAGTGTCTGTTGAGCAAAAATGAGTAGTATCTGCTTTGCAAGAGAAATGTAGAAAATGAGAAGGTCTCCGGGTGGCAGGTTGATCCTTGGAATGTTCTAGTTTCCTTAGGAAAGGGAAGCAGGCTTAAACAGACTTTATCACTTGAGTGGAAGGCAACGTTTTCCCAGAAAAGTGGCAAAATCAGTAGCAGGCAATTCTTTACCTATTGCGATTGCATGTATAGCAGCAAGATAGGAATATTTGAGAAATTGCTGTTCCATTTCCTTCCATTCGCTACATCGCTGTTACTCTCTTTGATCCTGTAAATTTTTTATCTAGGTAGTGCTTTTTTCTGGGAAAGTAAAGAAGGGATTTTTAGAAGGTTTGCATTATTATCACAGTGGATTGAAGAACTAGAAAGAAATACTACCTATACAATAACCTAATTTACTGCCTTTTTCTGGTAGTCCAAAAATGCAGTCTAATAACACAGAAGTGAATAAAGCCTAAAAGCAATGATAAGAGACTACCACATCCTTCCATTATGGGATAATGATTTTAAGTGCAACAAAACTTGACTTCATGCTTGTGCTTTTAGTGCTTGGCTCTAATCTCCTGTGAGATTTTGTTAAAAAAAAAAAACAAAAAAAAAAAAAAAAAAAAAAAAAAAAAAAAAAAACAAAAAAAAAAAACCAAAAAAAGCTCAGAAAATATTTCAGGAAATGCAGGGTAAGTAGCAAGTAATTTTAATGTAAAGATAAAAATGTTTGAAAAGAACCATGTAAAGAAAAATTTTCAGCAGTCATGTTTGTATGCTTCTTAAGACTCCCGATTAGACCTCAAGAGCCAATAGAAGAGGTTAAATATTAAAAAGCCTCCTCCTGTCTCCAAACATCCTCCATTGCTGCTCCCTCATATGGTAATACTGAACAGACTTCCTTTAAAAATTTTGCATATCACCTAACCCACTCCTTTCCTGAAGCCAAATATGCTTTTCATAATATATACAAATATATACAAATGCATTTTTCATACTTGCTCTATAAATCTGAGTAGAATATAAATGGAAAATATATCCTCTGTGAAGAAGCTAAAATAATTGCTGATCCTTTAGTTTACTCCTAAAAGGTTAAACTCCATTTTAATTAGGAAGGTCAGATATTTCTGGAAGTCTTTGTCTCCACAGAAAAATGCTTTGTTCTGCACAGCAGTGTAGTCTCACAGAAATGTGATAGTGTGGGTAATTATGGCAGACTGACATGTTGTGTTTGATGCCCAAGATAGTTTGGATGTCTTTGCATATGCAAATATGTCCCCAATTTTCTTTCCTAGGTTATTTTCACAAGACGAACGCTAAACCAATACACACTTAAAATCATCAATCTATTTTTGAAATTAAGTATTTGAAAGGATG